TATAAACCTTGACATTTAATAACTTCAATCGTTAGAAACAAATGGATTACAATCTCAGGAAGATATAGTAGGCTTTACATTACATTAATCTACATTTCGCAACTTTACTCTACAGTATTTGCAAGAAATATTTTTCATCATCTTTATCTACAATAATATAACTTGTTATCGTCATTTTTATATGTTATTTATGTATTTTCAAGAATTATTAGGTTGTTCAACTAATTCTGTGCCCTCTTGTAAAGCACATTTTGAAAGTTAAGGGGCACAAAATTATTTGAAGGACCTAATTTTATAAAAACTATGGCTAAAAAACAATTTACAAAGCTTAAAAGTGCAAACATACGTAGAATCTACATGGTAAAACAGATTACACTGAATCCGGAACTTTACCTTGACCACCCATTTAATCCTATATATCTTTAAAAACTTGTAACAAATCCAGATATCAATAGCTATGTTAATATCTACCCCAAAAACAACGTAAAATATCAGTTTACCACACAAGATAAGAAAATAGTAGCACAGTCTACCACACCAGATAAAGATATAGCAGTAGCTATGTTATAGTAATGGTTATGACAAAGTAAAGACCTATTAATGACAAAAAACAAGGTAAAAAGACAGTGTATTAGGGATGATAACCTTAATAACAAATTACAACCAAGAATAACATAGTAAAGCCGTAGTGTAGCCTCTTGAAATTAATATATACAAAGGTAATTACCTCCATCTGACATTTGTTGCCGTATGGGTGGTCCGAGTACAAGTAAAAGTACAAACGATGGCGTGTTAGAGAGAAAAACAAGTTACACAGCATAACATGTAATAACAGTAATGTAACAGCGCTAAGATATGACGATTTTTTTGTAAAAAATTGTTTTTACAGAGTAATATGATACAAAGCACACTGTTGAACATACGATGTTATGATTTTTGATAGAAAAAATTGTAAAAATGAGTTCAACGCGCCATTCTTTTCGCATCAATCCGATTAAAAAAGTGCGCCATTCTTTACAAACAACCAAAATGTGCCATTCTTTTTGCATCAAGACGTTTTTTGTAAACACGCCATCCTTCTTGCATCGCCTCAATATCGACTATTAGTTTGTTCAATTGATTATGTGCCCCCTTGCAAACCAAATTTTCGAAGTTAGAGGCACAGAATTCTTTGAACAATCTATAGTTAAAACGAAAAAGTAAAATCTACTTTTGACGAAATCTTCGCTTGCTACTGTAGCCTCCACATTTCGTATTTTACCATGAACACGACCAAAAATATCCAGCCAAGCAAAAAAAAGGCGATAAGACTTGTTGACATTACACTCGATGAACCTTTAGTAATATTGTTGCACTTTTGGCTAGAATGTTTCCAATTTATTTTTATTGCGTCGCAGCTACTGATAAACAGAAAGTGCATTGTTGTCAATTGTTTGTTGATCTCGTGTTCTATTAAATTCTGCAATAAAATTTGTGACACATCGTTACGGCTTTTGACATTATGTTATTGTGCCTAGGAATGAAAGACGGCTGGGTAAGCCCGGTCTGGCTCTACGGTATAAAGTAAAAACAAATGAAAAAGCACTTTTATGACATTTTATACCATTATGACAATATTTTTCAATTTCAAAAAAAATTTTTTAATTTTTAAAAAATAGGTCTAAAGTAGCCTACTACAATATACTTTCTCAATTAGTGCCCATCTGAACCCGAAAAAACAGCTAATCATTTAATATCAAATATATTGTTTCATTATCAGTGAAACAAAAAATAACTGAATGAAAATGGCTGATTATGCAGAATCAGACATTTCCTAAGAATACAAACAAACAAAAACTTTCGTAATATACTATCTTCAGTCTACACGTAATGTAATTCATATAATTAGTTCTAAATTTTTAAAATAATCCAAAGTTCAAACTCAAAAAATGAACTTTTTTCTTTGTTTCCTTAGGGCATATTTTCCTATTAAAGTAAACTACCGTAGAATTTTAATCTTAAAATAAGTCAAGCCCCATATAATATTAACATTGATGATAATCAAAATAAATCTGAAAAAAATGGTTTAGAACTATAATGATTATAAAACAAAGAGTATATATTAACAGTTCCCCAGCCATTTTTTATTCTAGGCGTTTTTGTTTAAAAAAATGAGACAAAGAATAGCAAATATTGTTTCGAACACATCTGTATCAACATACGATCAACAAAACAACCTATAAAAATTAAATGTCTCCCTGAACATTATCAACTATATCAATTAGACGAGAAGTGATTTAACTAAACATAACCCCTACTTTGAAAAAATTTTAGTTTCTTCCCCTCACTTTAGCTAGTCCTCTAAAAAGCCAATCATTAGTCCAAACCCTAACCATCGGGCTCACACGTGCCAGGCCACTCTCAAAATTGCTTCAGCCCAGCCTGACTTGTGGCTCTGCCAAGCCGATAGGGCGCCCTTTGAAATCTACTTCACTCTACTCTCATCCCAACATTCGTCTTCAACAAACTCACTCACCCAGCCTCTATAGTAAAGATAGTCTGTTTTATACTATTCTTATGATGTATAATATATACACTCTTCGACCTTCCTTTTTATATCAAAAAGATCATAAATAAATCATATAGTTAAAACATTTTACTCTGGAATTTTAAACAAATTTCTTTAGGTTTTACATCCTTGATATCAGCTGTAACACCTCCAGAATCTTTTAAATTAATTCGAAATTCTGTAAAAAATAAAAACAAAGGAACAAAGTCTTACTGTAGTGTGTGTTACTAAGAAAATTGGTTTTTATATGTCTGAGTTCATTTACATTCAAACAGAACATACCAGAACCAAAGAAAGTTATATCATTTTTCACTATGAAGAAATCTTACTATGGTATATAACTATTCAGTATCATATAAAGATATATGTTTGCAGTTAAAAAAAAATGAGAAAGAACACTTAGCTTAAGTTGATCAAATAGTTCTGTGCCCCAACTCAAAAAAGATTTTGGTGTTAAAAGACACATAATAATTGAAAAACGTAATATTAAAAATACATATACATTTACCCTACGATGTAGTGAAACATACAGAATTGGGTTACAACACGTATACAAGAAAAAAAAACGTGTAAAAACATGTATAACATCAAGATTGTAAGGAACACTGTCATACATAAACAATATTTATAATGTACACAACACATACCTACATGTACACTATGTACATGTACTCAATAATGTAAGGAACACACAAAAAAATGTAAATGTAAAGAACGCTGTTAATATGTAAAAGGTGTTCGAAATTCAATCCCAAATTCGAACCCCCACCTGCCTACTTAAGGGCATTTTGTTGTTGCGACAACTGTGTAAACATCTGAAAATGTATTTTTAAAAACGCACTTTTAGCTTTTAAAATGTAGACAATAACAACGTATTAAAGTACATACTATCATATCGAGTTTGCAACGTAAGCTCTCTACCCTGCCTATCATATCTTACCCTACCCTACCCTACCCCCCCCTACCTTACCCTACCCTACCCTACCCCCCCCTACCCTACTCTACCCTACCCTACCCTACCCTACCCTACCCTACCCTACCCTACCCTACCCTACCCTACCCTACCCTACCCTACCCTACCCTACCCTACCCTACCCTAACCCCCAACATATTCGAAACAAAAGAAGTTACTTTACAGTAGGTCCATAAATATCCCCGCCGCCCTTTTGCGCGCATAAATTCCCCCCAACCAGTCACAGCTGAAAGAACGGCGACATTCAAAAAGGCCATAAAACGCTGGAGTTCATAAATCTCTTCAAGGACGATAGGAACGATGTGTGTGGCCGCTTACAATTTGAAAATGAACCGCAAATTTGAGTTTTCATTACATTTGAATATTACTGTATTTTTTTACTTTTAGCACTATTCAGTACCTTGGCATTGTGTTGCAACTACTCTTCTTATCGACAAAACAAATATTATGATTCTTTAACCTTGCAATACTATGGCAATTGCCGCAGAATCCAAATATTAATTTTGAAAGTTATGAAGCTGAATTTAATACGACGACTTCAGACCTATATTACACTAGGTAACCAGTACCTAGTCTTACTAAATTTTTTACAGGTTTAGAAGAAACCAAAAAAATTTTTAAATAAACATTAGATAGTACAAAAAATTCTGAGCTTCCTATCCTCAAAAATTTCCTTTAAAAGGAGCACATAATTATTTGAACAACCTACTATAATATACAACCTCATTCAACTAAAACACTGTCAGATTTCGAAAAAACCGCAACCTGATCTGCCGTTGAAAACCCCATTATCCAGTTTAATGAGTTTACTTTGCCTCGATTTATGATCCCAGCCCTGCGGGAGTTCGAAATTCGAAATTTTAAAAATTGCGAAAAAAAGTTTTGCTGATTCAACGTCGCGCGCCATAAATTTGGAATAATGTGACCGACAATTTTACGACTTTTCCAAAAACTTTTCCCCTTGAACAACGACCACACACACTGCGAATGGCAACTAACGTTTCGATTATTCAGCTCATTTAGCTGTTGGCAAGGATAATATAAACCATGGGCGTTAATTAACTTTTAAAGTTTTGTGTAAGCATTTACAGAAAATATGCCTGAAAAAGGATAATTCAACACGCAGTAAACATTATAAAAAGCACAGTAAAAATTGAAAATTGCGGTAAAACAAAATTTTGTTTGAAAGCAATTGACTCAGAACTTTACTGTGTCAACTGTTTCTCATATACGACAATGAAAAGTAATTTACTGCATATATGCACGTATATGTAAATCTGAAGTGCTCTTTAGTTATCTTTTCTTTCAGATTTTACATCTTCAATCAACGACTTCAAAACCATTGTGTTTTGACACTTTGTTGATCAATAGTTGAGACATGCGGCTATATTTCCTTTCCGATAAAAAAGAAGGTGCGCAAGCACATGTCGTCGTCTGAAATCCGTAGCAAACAAGGAGGTAAATACGCTATCGATTACTATGATCTTGAATCATTTGAATCCAGAATGTTTGGAACCGTTTATTTATTATTTTTCTCAGAAGGTGGTCCCAGAAGTCGACGAAAATGGTGAAGAACTTCGTGTTAACGACTTTGATCGGCATAAAATTATGTCTGTAAGTTAGTTTAATATTGTTTCTTGAAATTGGCTTGATTTTGTACAATTTAGATGGGGATGTGACTTTCTTTTTGGTTTTTACAAAATTGATACCTAAAATAAGGTTATTTTGCTCTCATTTGTTATAAGTCCGCTTTTTAAGCGGCATAGTGATTTTTTCTAGTTTAGAAAGTAAATTTTACTTATGTTAATGTAGTCTTCAATTAATTTTAAACTAAAGAAACGATTTTATCAAACACCTTGTTTTAGGGGATATCACATCGCTTCCGTCGCATGTTACGAAGCTTTCTGCACGATACTCAATTGTTGATTGCTGATCACAGACATGATAAGCATTTTGTTCTTCTGCGTACAAAGCATTACTACTTATTCGAAACTTCAATACATAAATTTATTGATTTTTATCTTCACGTACAGTTCTACATTGAGTTTGTCTATATTTGCGAGGAATCCTATCTGAAAATGGCTATAATTCATCCGAATGTTACATGTGCAGGAAGTAGGTTATCTTTACGTTGTTTTACAATAGGTTATGCTTGTTATAAATGTTGGGTTTTGCTGGTTTTATACTGTTTTAGGTATGTTGCTAAAATTCGATTTTTCTTTTTTTAATTATTATGCTCTTTTTGATAATATATAACTTTGAAATTATTGTTAAAGCTTAAAATAAGGTTTTTTATTCTATTTTAAGATTACAATGAAGAACAGCTTGGCGGTGCGGACATTTTATGCTCCTTGGTCGACGTGAGACGTATCATAGGCTTATCAAGCACGCTTTCAAATTTGAATATGCCATTGGCTGCGAAAGAGTGTTATGTGAATTATCGTAAATATTGTCCGAAGCATTTTCGTGACTATTATTGTCCATTTTTCTCTTGTGAGGTTTTATATTGTCACCTCACTGCTCATAGAGTCGATTTCTTCAGGAAATTACCACAGTAAGTTTATGTTTTTGATAGAATAGAGATAAGATTTAAAATCAAATGAGTTGGATTAGAAAAAGCAATGTTTTGGATGAGTATAATCAGTGGTGATGAAGCTTTGGAGCTTATTTTGATAATACTAAAAACTAAAAGTAGGAGTAAGCCAAGTGCAATATAAGTTCAAAAACCAAATAAAAGTTGTTTTTTTTGAGAATAATTTGCAAAAACTTGATTTAAATTTAAAAAATATTGTGTTTTCAGTAGTAGAGGCCTGAAAAAATCTGTAAAGAAGCTATATCTGATAGTTTACATCGATTCGAAGCGAGGTTTTACAGTGATTGATGATATGAAGGCTATTCTAATGGATTACTACCCAAATTTGACACGATTTGAAATCAAATGCTTCTGGAAAACGGTGGGAATTTAAAATATTTCGTATTCTTAAAAATCTATCTATAATTAGGTTGTTCAAAAAGTAATGAGCCATTTTTTGTTTTATATGTTGTGTTTACTGGCTCATTACTTTTTGCACAATTTTGTATGCCAAAAAGTATAAACTCATATAACGAACATCTTCAATATCTTCAGAAGAGCGAGCCATACGTCCTAGAGTTCTGTGAAGCCTTGATGGGTTTATACGAAGCAGGCCTTGAGGTCTGTTTGGACTTTATGTGGTGGAAGTTCAAGGACCATCGAATCCACAAGTTTTTGAAGTTGTTCGGATCTGTTTTCAACCCCCAAATGACAATCGATGATGTACAGGTGTCGAATTACTACGGCACTTACGAGTATCATTATCGGGCTGATGGACTGATTGTGAATCTGGAGTGCACATACGAACATCCTACCGAAGGATCGGTTTGGTATTCTGAGCCATATCGCCTTGCTTGTCGGTGTATTAGCTATACGTGACATAGTACATGGTATGTAAGCAATGGTGTTATTTAAATAATTCTGAGTTTCCTAAACTCAAAAATTTGCTTTGAGAGATGGCTCAGAATTAATTGAACAACTAAATATATCTTGTCTTTTAAGTTTTATATGGATAATAACTTGTCTATACTTGATGCTATTATCCAGCTGTGGAAGGATGAAAAGTATATTAAGATATACGTTTATATTGTAGCTTTAAGCATTTACAGAGCTATTACATTTAATTATAATACAATTATACATATAATCAGGTTGTTCTTGTCTTAAAATTTTGTTTTTTTTGAAGTTTTAGATATACTTATTGTTGGGCTATGTCATGAATTTTGTACTTGAGCTGAATGTTATGGTATGTTCTTGTAGTTGTTGACTTAATAAATAGCTTTTTTTACATGTTTGTGCTCGTTTTTGTATATGTTATAGTACTTTACATTGACATACATTTGCTATTTGTTGTTCAAATAATTATGGGCTTCTAACTCCAAAAATGTTCTTTGAGAGGGGCTCAGAATTACTTGAACAATTTACTAACTTACATTAACATACATCTGATCATATAGGTTTTAATCTAATATTTTTGGGAGAACTGATCACGTTAGCGTCGTGCTGTTCTGATTTCAGCCATCGTGATGTTCTGAACTCACACATACCAACTAACGTTACGTGATGTCAGGTAGCGGAAGTGACTCTTAAGCGCAACCTTTTGAGTACTTTCATACCCTACGGCAATTAAACTTTTCTCGCGGCGCCGAACGTAATATTCAGCTTCAATATAATGTATAATAATATGCCGAATCGACTCGAACGTATACTGGTTTCGTTCATGGTAAGTTGGGTTTTGTACTTTTCAACAAAAAGCAGTTTGGTTTAGGGTTGTTTTATTTTAAATTAGGCTTGTTTTTGATAAGCTTTGGCTTTTTTAGGTAATTATAAGTCAAGTTAGGCTTAAATTCAGATGTCGAAGTAAAATTTTTGCCTTTTTAACTGATTCCAGAGACTTTTTGACTCTTTACTCTTAGTATATGATTAACAGAGAATGTATACCTTCTATTAGTGTAGTATCTTTTGAATCTCCTGCTCTTTTCTGACCTATATCACTGTATTGTGTACACAAAAACGTGGTTAATATGAGAAAGTTCATCAAAAAGATTTATCACAATGTGCGTTAAGTGTTCCAAACATGCCTAAGGGGATTTTCGTTTTATTAAAAGTCATTTTGAATTGCTTTAAAATTCCGACGTCCCACGCACGGAACGGAGCGTTTGGCCGTTCTCTTTGCTGTTTTACTGTAAAACAGATAATATTATTGTTGGTTTAGTGGAAAATTGACCTTTTGAAACATTTTTTGGCGATTTTTTACAATTTTTGACATTTATATGATGTTATTTAGCTGTAGTTAACAAAAGTTTGAAATTTTGAAATTTTAAAATTTTCTGAAAATTAAAAAAATTTTTTAAAAAATTAATTTTTAGTTATTGTCCTACGGCAGTAATCTCAAACCAAGATGGGGATATGTTTCTACGACTACTTTAGCTTCATCGTCGTATCTCTGCTTTTATCCACTGTAACTTCACAGACTCCATGTGCTGATCAACATGTTCATTGTCGCTTCTGGTCGTCGCAAGGTGAATGTGCCAAAAATGCTGTTTGGATGGTACCGAATTGTCCGAAGTCGTGTAACAGCTGTAATCAAGTCACGACAACGACACAAAAGCCAGTGGTCTCTGTGGTTACACCGAGTGGTAGGTTTATATTGTAAAACAAGGATAATAATATATGTTGTCTTAAATTGTAAAAAAGTGTATAAGGTGTGTAGGCTTTAATATAACTAGGCTGCATCGGAAATAGTGTTTTAGTTTTGTAGAAAAGGCTGAAGTTTTTAAAAAAAGGCTACGTAGAAAGTGAAAGGCGCAGTAGTAGTTTGTTCAAATAATCCTGTGCTCCCACTCAAATTTGAGATTTGGTTTTTATTATGAAAACGTTGTATTTTAGCGACTTCAACAGTGAAAACAACATCACAACCCGCGACGAATAATCAGAAGCCAGCTGATAAACAATGTCCAGTTGTGCAGGTTAAAGAAGGTAATATATTTGGTTTTGTTTCTATTATCATCCATATTTTAACTTATTTTACTGTCATTCTATTTAACATTTAAAGTTTCAGCCTTTTCTCTATTTTACAATATTGTACTTTACATTAAAACCTTTAAAAACCGCAGTAAAACTGTCTTTATATCACTGATATTTTAGTCCAAACCCGTTTCGTCCCCAGCGATTCCCAATTCCGTAGCCAATCTCAACGTTCTGGCTGTGCCATTCCTAATCAACTAAACATCTGCTCACGGAACGTTTGCTACAATAAGGTGTTCAGAACATTTGATGGGTCGTGCAATCATGAGAAGGATGTTATGAAGGTATGTTGTCGAAGCTTGACTTTAATTATAGCTATAAAGAAGCCGGGCAGTTTTTCGATTTGGCTCACGGGCACACATGGGTAAGCCCTGTCCGGTTCTTTCCAAGGTTGCCTCGGCCGGGCCTTTTACGTTGCGAGATCTTTGATGGGCCTCCGGGACCTTGATTTGGGCCTAGTCTTTAGGCCTACATGCGAATGGCCTAAGCTTTTCTTCATTTTTTTGGTCCGGCTTAATCCATTCGGCTTGGTCTAGTCCGGCTTTTATTTTTTTTGAATGCTACCTTTGGACAAACTTAAAATAAAAAATATTATTTTAGGGAGCCGCTTTCACACCGTTCTTACGACTTCTGAACCCAGATTTCGCTGATGGAGCGTCACAAATGCTATGTAAGGTTAAAGGGCGAAAGAATTAATGGATTTATGTCTTCTAAAACACAAACAATTTAGCGGGGGTTGTTCAAATACTTCTGTGTCTCCTAACGCCGAAAATTTGTTTTGAGAAGAAGCACAGAATTATTTAAACAACTTAGAATAAGTCCTTATCTTATTTTGGCTATGTTAAACATTGCTTATATTACACTCCATTTTCAGCCGCCGGCCTACCCAACCCTCGAGCAGTAACTCATCGTCTTCTCACATCTACAGTATCTCTTCAAAGCACGAAAAGCGCGTTTGTTACCGTATTCGCTCAGTTTGTGATGCACGACATCACCAAGAACACCTTGATCAACGTCTGTAATTGTGGCGTTCGGAATGCGGAATGTGCTAATATTCAGCCTGATAATGGAGATAGACGGTTCGTTTTTTGTCCAGTAACTTCAGTTGTAAAGTAACATCATAACAACCTCTTTTTAGACGCCAATGTATCCCTTTCACCCGCTCATCTCCAATGTGTAATACTGGAGTGCAAGGTCGACCACGTGTACCAGTCAACTCAAACACGGCCTACGTGGATGGATCGGCTGTCTATGGCTCAGACCCAACTACAGCTGATTCCATTCGAGTTGGAGCCTTTCTGAAGTCACAAGTAGCCAACAGAGACATTGTACCACCACAATCTGGAGCCAACTTTGACACTGGAGACGATCGTGCTAGTCTGTTCGTTGGACTGGTTTCTATTCATTCTATTTTCTTGAGAATGCACAATCGGTAAGGCGGTTTTGGCTATGTTAGAGTAGGTTACGGGTAGTTACGGTATGTTCCGAGAGTAAAAGAGCTTTTATATTATGTTATACTGCTATCATAAGCATTATTAAGGTATTAAACTTCATTTTGTCGCAGAAAGAGAAAAATTTAAAAAAAAATAAAAGTATTTTAAAATTTTAGTCTAGCCCAGCAGTTGTCTCAGCTCAACCCAAGATGGAACAGCGATCGTATCTACCAAGAAGTGCGTAAGATCCAAGGAGGTATAGTTCAAGCCATTACCTACAACGAGCTCTTGCCTGCCTTGTTGGGCGGTAAAGTCAGTTTACTCGGTAACTACAACGGATTCAACGACTCTTCTGACCCTGGGATCGCTGCCGAATTCGCTGGAGGTGCTGGAAGACTTCATGGGCTTGTTCAGGTGAGTGTAATGTAGGTAGTCAGTGTAACTCATTAGGTTTTTCAAATAATTTTGTGCTCTCTCTCAAAACAAGTTTATGGGTTGGGGGCACATAAGTATTTGAACAATTTAATAATTACAGGTTATGGGTGTTCATGGACAATATTTTTAGTTATTCAGACATTTTTGAGGTTTTTTAAAGATTTTTAACTTACCAGGAAAGTGCCCGACTTGCTCCGCTCTGCTTGACCTTAAACTCTTTTTTATAGGGAGATCATGTAAATATATACTAAATTGCGTTTTCCAGGAAATCTTGAGAAAATTGAGATAAAAAATTACGTTTTGAATGTCTCGCCAAATTGGCATTGTTCTTTGTTAGTAAAACGAAATTATATTGTTATATATTATATTATACTTTTAAATTTAATTTTTTAGCTTGTTCAAATAATTCTGCGCCTCTTCTCACGATAAAATTTTATGGTTACGGGGCAGAGAATTATTAGAACAACATAATGAATTGACATTTTTACGTTAAAGCATGTTTGAAAGTATAAACTGCCACTTTCGTAAATTTATCTGGCTCCCATGAGGTACCCGTATTTTACATTAAAAATAGCATTTTTTCATGTTTTGCTTTATTTTACCTAAACATGGCATTTTAAATTTAAAAATTTTCAACACGTTTTTTGATTTTGCAAATCTTTAATTAATAACACTTTCAGGAAACCTACCCACTAGTAAACAGTAACTTCCAACAAGTAGGTACCTACACCACGGTATCCCAGACCGGCAACTTTCAAGCTCTAATTTCGAATGGCATTGGAATGTTGCTGCGTGGCTATGTCACATCACCAACTCGAAAACCTGGACGTGTCTCTACCACGATGACAGAGTTTCTGTTCTCTTCTCAAGCTGACATGGCTTCTATTAACATCATGAGGGGGAGGGATTACGGTCTCCGGCCGTACAACGACTACAGAGTAATGTGTGGACTGCCAAAACTGACTAGCTATGATCAGTGGACTGGTAAGTGGTTTAGTGTTGTGAAGCTTCTTTTAATTTTTCTGCTTGTGATCAGAGCATTTGTCTCTCTCACAATTAAATGGCACAAATTTAATAAGATACGAGTACTAGATTGTACGAAAAGGATATTAAATGGTTATAAAAGAGTGCTGGATGATACTAAAAGGAGTTAAGAAGGTAATGCAAAATTGTGGTTGTCTTTGAGATGCATTTAGGTATTGGCATAGTCATGCAATACATTTTGTATAAAAATACTTCAATCGTACTATATTGTACACAGGGCCGGGCGGGGACTTTTGGTCTGGGGGCAGGGGTCCAAAAAAATCGGCACTACCTGTGCCGATTTTTTTTGCGAAAATTTTTTTTCCAAAAATCCACAGGGGGGACCACGTTCAAATTTTTTCGAAAATTTTTTTTTGTACCCCCCCCGTCCCCCCTCGCGCCCGGCCCTGATTGTACATTATACTTTTATGTACAATACTAAAATAATACTATACAGCATAGAAACACTAATCAAACATGTTCTATCATATAATTGGAGTGTAGAAGCCATCAGTGCAGTCCCTACAATATTTTTTAAATTGCACTACACTACTATGTTATTATGGATCGTAACTAATATGTTATCATTGATAGTAATACATATGCAATATTTTTGCAAAAAGACTTTTATTTTTCTTGAATGAGCTACATTTCAATGTCAAGCTGATGATAATGTAATCAAAACAAAGACTTCATCAGCCATTATTCACTCGATCGAGAATAAAATGAAATTGAGATTCTGAACTCCAAAGTATTACGATGAATAAGCTGAGTTCTTATATAAGCCTACCATCAACCCTGACACTCATCATTCAATCAAGGTATTCATGTTCAGAAGATGAAGTCCTTTGTCATCTTCTTCTGGATAAAATCTTTTGTCTTCTTATTCACCGTCGCCATCTACTGTATTCACGGAACTGATGTAGTTTTTTTTAACAAATGCCCCAAACCGGTTACTGTGGTGAAGAAACTGGCATTCAAGCTGCTGAATGTCATCTGGCAGTACGAGGCTCATGTATGCGTACCTACACATCTGGTCTCAATGACTTTCGGAACGGGTTTGGAATTGGTAATGACGTTATTTAGTACTATTAGGTTGAACGAGAAGTAGCGGGACACTTTTTATTTATTTTTTAATTATAGGTGTCCCACTACTTTTGGTTCAACCAATATTGCATCAATTGATATTATGAAGCTCAGTATTATTCGAACATCACTTTATATATTGAATAGTAGTAGGATTAGTAATAGGAGGTCATTCTTTACGAATATTGTTGTAAATCATACTATCGCTGAGTTTTCCTTCGGCAAGCAACACGAATTTGACTATTATTCTATAGTTTTGATCGAGGGGTTTGACGTTGGAATGGAGATCATCCCACAAAGGAACGGCAGTCATAGAGTCAAGTGTGATTCTGCATAAGTGGTGGTAGACATACTTACTTAACTATCATGGTCACTATCTCATTAGGTTTTTTAAACTTTGTATGACAGTACAGTGGTCGCGGCTGTGAATACTCAAGTATCTGTACCTTTTTATCGTAGTACTGGTACTTGATAGTACGATCGTATTATAATGTCACGCTTTATAATATGGTGCTAGTACTGTACCTACTTAATAGTATTACTGTATCTACTTAATGGTAGTACTGTATATAGTTAAGGGTAGTACTGTACCTACTTAAAGATAGCACTGTACCTACTTAATGCTAGTACTGTACCTACGAATACTTATAGTAACATTGCTGATATGATCGTGGTGACTGTACTTTAAAGTATGACTTTAGTATTGAACTTGAGCGTAAGGTTGTATTGACTATGCTCTTATAGTAGTACTGTAATGTAAAAAAGATTGTAGTGACTGTGATGATGCTACCCACTCTCCTGCTAACAATCACACTTATCGTGTCCTTGCCGGTGATGAGTTTCACGTGTACTTTTGCTATCCATGTCAAGCCAAAAAATAATATATTTTTTCGTCGAATTGCGACCCGTTCGGTTGCAAAACGTAAAAATTGATTCGAAAATAAAATAATTAATAAAAAGGTTGAAGAAAATGTTGTTTATCTAGTTAACTTTTGTTAACAAACGCATCCGGTTATCGTGGTAAAGACGGTCACTGGAGGTAGTGGCCAACAGGCTCGACTTCGACTGGCAGTAGGGGCGTCTTGTGTTCAAACCTACACATAAGGGGCTATGAACTTCCGCCATGACGGTTGACTATAACAAATGAACTGACATATTATGAAAATTTTATAAGTTTTGACATCATGTGACGCTTTATGCTTTGTACAGGGCAGTGCATGATTCAAATGCCGCAACTGAATATAACAGATCTAAAAATGTAACCTGCGTTTTTGAGCTTTAAACTCTAAATATTTGAAATTCTAGACAAGCTACGCTATTGTAAGGTCTACAATAAAACATGTGACACTTTGCCTCGACTTTTTGACATTTTGTTACCGTGCCAAAGTATAAAATGAAAAAAAATGAAAAAAAATTTTTATGAAATTTTATACCCTTATGACAATATTTTTTTCGATTTTGAAAAAATGCTTAAACTTTTTCGAAAACCAAGTCTAAAGTAACATACTATAGTACAATATACTCTCTAATTAGTGCCCATCTAAACTCAAAACAAATACCTGTGGTCAAAAGTCTTTTTTATACTACGATAATGCGCTTAGCAACAAAAAAACTGTTTAAATTAAAAAATGAACTTTCCAGAAATCACAGACCCAAAAGTTCGCGACCGTGTGAAACAACTCTACCCTGACATTAACAAACTCGAACTCTATGTTGGTGGTACCTTAGAAGAACCAGTAGAAGGCTCTCTGATCGGCCCCACCTTCTCCTGCATCTGGGCGGATCAATTCAGACGGATCCGTGACGGTGATCGCTTCTTCTACAAGAATCCTGGCGTCTTTACAGAAGCCCAACAGCAAAGCATTGACAAGGTGTTGTTGGCCAGAATCATCTGCGAGACTACAGATATCACCAGCATACCACGAAACGTGTTCAAGGTGGACAGAAACGGCCAGACGGCTGTTTCTTGTAGCCAGATACCGTCGCTGGACTTGAAATTGTGGAAGGAGTAATTGAACATGTTATCATTAGTATTACAAGAGACACGGGACTAATTTTAATAAAAAGCTTTGCCATCAATAATATTATAGTTTACCAAGGAGACTATTAAGTTGTTCATTATCATAAATATTATATTAGTTTACTATGGATAATATACAGTTTTACCATGATATTTAGTTTAGTAATAAATTTTTTGTTTTTAAAATTTTAAAAATATAACTTTTACTTCACTGTATGACCCCTGTCTATTGCAGGTATAAACATATGAAAAGGCATAGCTAACAAGATAGACTGCTGTATATTCATGAACGTATCTTATGAATTTCAATATAAATTGAAAAGCAAGATATAATAGGTACATTAATATGAGGTAAAACATGAAAAGTAAGTCCGGATCAAATACAAGGGTAAGAAACGGGCGTAAAGTTTAGGCCTGGCTCGATCGTAGAGCCGGCTGGGCTGCGGCGGGCATACACGGCCCGTTATTCACCCCTAATCAAATACCTACCCATTCGCTTGTCAATGTAAGGTTGTTTCACATGGTCATAAGTTTATAAGTTGAAAATAATTACTTTACTGTAGTATGTTCTTCATTTACTTATGTCTTTCAAAATTACTGTAAAGATGATTTTTATATATAACTAGTTGATACGTCATAATAATTTTGTTTATTTATATGTTGCCTTTTGAAATTCGTTTTTTAAAACATTTTTGACATAGTCATCATTTATGACAAAACCAGGTAAAGCGGCCACAAATCAATCAAAATCGACTAAAGTTGAGGGAACATCGTCAAACTGGCGCAAATTCAAGATAAATGGATTCCCTGCAGGCACACTATGAGTATGATTGTCAGAAGGGTTGTGGTACGCGTCAGTGCAGTCACTACAATACTATTTTTATTAGAGTACTAGTATCAGTAAGCACAACTACTACATAAGAAAGTAAATTACTATAGATGTACTATCAAGAAAAGAGCTAAACTTATACATACTAGAATGTACAGTCACTACAATAACGTCAGTAAAAACTGTCACTACAATAATATACTTTGACATCGGTTGATAAGGTACTATAGCTATGTTTACTATCACTTACGAAACGGGACACTCAGCTACTTAACCTCCGTTCTCTGGGATGATCTGCATAGCAATATCAAACCCTTCGATCAAGTTTATAGCGTAATTGTCATGTCCATTCGAGTCGTCGAAGGAAAACTCAGAGATGGTGTGACCTACAACAATATATTAAGGTGTTCAAATAATTATGTGCCCCTAACTTTGAAAATTTGCTTTGAGAAGAGACGCAGAATTGTTTGAACGACCTAATAACAAGCCATGCCATAGTACTAATTTAATGCACAGTGTAGTCAATATAAAAGACTTAGAACACTCTAATATTACTAATTGTCATTACCAACTCCAAAGTCGTGACGAAAGTTCATAGCACCAGATGTGTAGGTTTGAACGCAAGAAGCTCCCACTGCCAGTCGACATTGAGCCTGTTGGCCGCCACCTCCAGCTGACGTCCTCACCACGGTAACTGGGTCGGTGCATTTGTTAACAATAGTAAGTTTTCCAGCTGGACTACAGTAGATAGAGACGGTGAAGAAGACGACAAAAGTCTTCATTTTGTGAATATAAATATCTCGAGTGAATAAATCATGGTTATATTGACTTAATTATATTAATATAATCGTTTCAATAGCTGAATGCAGTTTATTTCAGACAACCATGGTCATGTAGAAGTTAACCGTTTTACTTCGTAAATACTCAATGTTAATATCATTGTATCAGCTGTCTTTTATAATACAACTTTAGTATTGCCGTTGATAGTGCAATTGCAGTACTTCATTTACTGATTAAAAAACTAAATTAGTATAGTAACTCTCATACCACTACTTCTTTCCCTATAATCTTATACTAACAAGACTATCATACAAAATCACCCACATTTTTGAAACTGCCAGCGTTTATTGATTAGTGATTACTTTAAAAATTAAATTGTTAGTTTTACGGTTGTCTCATTAAGACCATTTGTGCGCTTTAGGCGGTACCAGACGCGTCACTAAATTGGCACAAGTTCAAGGTAAAGGGGTTTCCAGCAGGAACGCCGTAGGTGTGGTTGTCAGTAGAGCTGTGGTAGGCGTCAGTGCAGTCACTACAATCATATTAGTAAATAATGTCAATATAACAATATCAATGTACAGCACTACCGCAATATTAGTTGTATGATACTTCAATAATTATATAAAATACAGTACTATAAACAATGATAGTAATACTCACGCTGTAGCACATTCAGCAACGTGCCCTCCGTCCTCTGGAATGATCTGCATTCCAATGTCAAACCCTTCGATGACATTCAGATCGTAGTTACTGTGACCGTTAGGGTTACCAAAGGAGAACTCAGCGATGGTGTGACCTAAACATATTATGTACAACAATCCATTACTACAATGAACATATGTAAAATGATATATTACTACAAGAAGAGCAACAATATCTACAGTAACCCACCCGATCCGTAGTTGTGACGGAAGTTCATGACTCCAGTCGTGTAGGTCTCGGAACAAGATTCTCCCACAGCCAATTGACATTGCACGGTCTGAAGACCGCCGGGGACGGTCTTTACTACGGTAACAGGGTCGGTACATTGGTTGACGATGGTCAGAGCAGTAGCTGGAGCTGAGGAAGCAGAAGCAACAGAAGATGAGTCAACATCGTCAAATTGGCACAAGTTCAAGGTGAAAGGGGTACCAGACGGTACACCATAAGTGTGGTTGTCAGTAGAGCTGTGGTAAGCGTCGACACAGTCACTACAATAGTATTAATCCTATTAGAATAGAACTATCAAGTCCAGTACTATGATTATAATATAGAGAATAAACTGTAAATAAGTTACTGTAAGTTTAATTACTGTCACTTACGCAGTAGCACATTCAGCTACGTGGCCACCGTTCTCTGGGATGATCTGCATTCCAATGTCGAAGCCTTCAATGACATTCAAGGCATAGTTGTCATTGCCATTTGGGTTGCCGAAGGAAAACTCAGAGATGGTGTGACCTACAACAATATAATAAACAATGTCATAACTAATAGATGACATAATACATATTCTTATAGTAGATGCTACTATAATAGATGACATACCTGATCCGAGGTTGTGACGGAAGTTCATGACGCCAGTGGTGTAGCTTTGGACACAAGACTCTCCGACTGCCAGATAACATTGAATTGTCTCCAAACCGCCAGGGACAGTCTTGACTACATACACCGGATCAGTGCATTGGTTGACGATAGTCAAGTCTCCAGCATGGCTACAGTAGATGGCGACGGTGAAGAAGAGGACAAAAGACTTCATTTTCTGAATATGAATACTTTGAGTGAATGATGAGTCGTAGGGTTGGGGGTAGGCTTATATACTCAATTTGGCTAGCTCATTTCAATACTTTGGCCTTCAGAATCTTATTTTTCGTCTATTTTGTTTTCAGATCTAGTATAATATTCTCTGATTCGAATATTATTCAAACAAAATTTCAAACATCATCCAACTGACCTTCAGCTAGCCTCCAATACAGTCTCTTTTTAAACTTCAATTACCAATCCTTGTTTTTACTTTTTCAAAATGACCTTTGGCCAAGTGTTAAACATATCAGACATTTTGAAATTTTAAAATTTGAATTTTAATCTAGTTTAACATAAATTATACTGCAGAATACAAAGATTTGTTCAAAGCATAGCTGGAGTTACTTTGCATAACACATCAAAAAGCAATAGCCATATGTCATTTGAAAATGAAACAACAGTTTTAACGGATTAGGGTCGATTTAAAAAAAAGAAAATAGTTAAGATTAAAGTTTGAAAAGAGACTGTATTGGAGGCTAGCTGAAGGTCAGTTGGATGATGTTTGAAATTTTGTTTGAATAATATTCGAATCAGAGAATATTATACTAGATCTGAAAACAAAATAGACGAAAAATAAGATTCTGAAGGCCAAAGTATTGAAATGAGCTAGCCAAATTGAGTATATAAGCCTACCCCCAACCCTACGACTCATCATTCACTCAAAGTATTCATATTCAGAAAATGAAGTCTTTTGTCCTCTTCTTCACCGTCGCCATCTACTGTAGCCATGCTGGAGACTTGACTATCGTCAACCAATGCACTGATCCGGTGTATGTAGTCAAGACTGTCCCTGGCGGTTTGGAGACAATTCAATGTTATCTGGCAGTCGGAGAGTCTTGTGTCCAAAGCTACACCACTGGCGTCATGAACTTCCGTCACAACCTCGGATCAGGTATGTCATCTATTATAGTAGCATCTACTATAAGAATATGTATTATGTCATCTATTAGTTATGACATTGTTTATTATATTGTTGTAGGTCACACCATCTCTGAGTTTTCCTTCGGCAACCCAAATGGCAATGACAACTATGCCTTGAATGTCATTGAAGGCTTCGACATTGGAATGCAGATCATCCCAGAGAACGGTGGCCACGTAGCTGAATGTGCTACTGCGTAAGTGACAGTAATTAAACTTACAGTAACTTATTTACAGTTTATTCTCTATATTATAATCATAGTACTGGACTTGATAGTTCTATTCTAATAAGATTAATACTATTGTAGTGACTGTGTCGACGCTTACCACAGCTCTACCGACAACCACACTTATGGTGTACCGTCTGGTACCCCTTTCACCTTGAACTTGTGCCAATTTGACGATGTTGACTCATCTTCTGTTGCTTCTGCTTCCTCAGCTCCAGCTACTGCTCTGACCATCGTCAACCAATGTACCGACCCTGTTACCGTAGTAAAGACCGTCCCCGGCGGTCTTCAGACCGTGCAATGTCAATTGGCTGTGGGAGAATCTTGTTCCGAGACCTACACGACTGGAGTCATGAACTTCCGTCACAACTACGGATCGGGTGGGTTACTGTAGATATTGTTGCTCTTCTTGTGGTGATACGTTATAATATATTTGTAGTAATATATTAATGTATATAATATGTTTAGGTCATACCATTGCTGAGTTCTCCTTCGGTAATCCTAATGGTAACAGTAACTACGATCTAAATGTCATCGAAGGGTTTGACATTGGAATGCAGATCATTCCAGAGGACGGAGGGCACGTTGCTGAATGTGCTACAGCGTGAGTATTACTATCATTGACTTTATAATACTTTGCGTTACCGAACTACTGTAGTATCATACAACTAATATTATGGTAGTGATGTACTTTGGTACTTTTATAGTAAGATTATTTACTAATATGATTACTGTAGTTTTGCTTTATAAAACGAGTAGTTATTGATATGATTGTAGTGACTGCACTGACGCATACCACAGCTCAACTGACAACCACACCTATGGCGTTCCTGCTGGAAACCCCTTTACCTTGAACTTGTGCCAATTTAGTGACGCGTCTGGTACCGCCTAAAGAGCACAAATGGCCCTAATGAAGGAACCACAAAACTTACAATTTAATTTTTAAAATAATCACTTATCAATAAACGCTGGCAGTTTCAAATTGTAGTCGACTTCGTATGATAAAATTTTTTAAAAAATTATCAGATTGTTCAAGTAATTCTGTGCCCTATCTGAAAGAAAACTTTTGGGGTTAGGGAGCACAGAAACAGTTGAAAAATTTAAAAACGGCTTGTCATAGATAATATAATACGTTTCTATGATATTAAATTTGGAATATTTTACACAAGTCTAACATAGTTGAAGGGTTTTTATTAGGTGATTGCAAAAGTTTCTGGCCGATTTTTGTTTTTACCAAAATTTAATATTTAAAAAAAACAACAATAACTAATTAACAAATATATGTGTTATTATTATCAACAACCTGTTTCCATCCCTTCAGCAGCATTTGGATTCAACTGCTGTAGAAACCTGGAGTTTGAGAATTGAAAACGTTAGCCCACCACCTCTTGAGGTACTCTCGATTGTCAAAGCGTGTTGCGTTAAGGTGATTTTGGAGAGAGTGGAACTTATGATAATCTGTTAGTGCAACCTCAGGTGAGTACTGTGCATATGACATCACAGTCCAGCCGAGGCTTTTGAGCTTGTGTTGGGTCAACTTTGTCACAAAGGCGCAAGCAGTATCATGAATGAAGAAGATCCGCTCCTGTTTACCATGCAATGCCGCGTAAACAAATTTAATTTGTTTACAGTAGACATCCACAGGGATCGTAGTTCCATGTGGTACCATTTCCCAAAACACGATACCTGTTGAGTTCCAGCTAAAGCTGATAATCTTATCCAGTGGGTGAAGATCAGGTTTGAGGTTGATACACCCTGTTCTCCACGTTCAAGCCATTGTTTCTTATTGGTGTGATTAACATACAGTACCCACTCCTCATCCCCAGTAACCAAATTGTCAAGCCATTCAAAGTTCCGGGAGCATCAACAAACAAGTGCAAACTTCTACTTAGCGTTTCAGCTGGTCGCTGTTCAAATCATGTGGAACTTCTTGACCATTTTTCCGTAATCTCCCAAGGGCGTGAAGTCTAATTAATGTGGTAGAAGGGTCACACTGAAGCTCTACAGTCAAATAAGTACAGGTTCGTCGGAGGTCTTCTTCGATCAGCTTCAGAAGGTGGGGTTTCTTCAACGCTGATGGTCTACCAGATCGAACTTTTCGGACATGTCAAAGTCACCGTTTTTGAACTTGTGGAATCGAACTTTTGTGGTGTCGTAAGAGACAACTAAAGGCTCTACAGCACTGCATATTTTCTACGTCGCTCTTGTTGCGTTGCCGTGATTGCGGAATTTGAGAAACAACACTGGCGAACATGATTGTGTTTCACCTTGATTTCTTGAACTACCGTAAACAACAGAAAGCTTGAACATGCTATAGTTTTTAGTCCTTGGGCACCTCTTTATACAGGTTGCCAACAGAAAGTTCTAGAACAGTGCAAAAATTTTTAAAAAAATTTTTTGAAAAAATCGGCCAGAAACTTTTGCAATCACCTAATATATGCAATAGGGTGTGTAGAATCCATTTTTCTAATTTCTTTTTATTTTTTGTAGCTATATGGTGCTATAACAGTACTGTAACTGCTTAACACAAAGTTTAGATTATAACCATTTCTTTTTAAAATTTATTGTGATTTTCCTTTTTATTTACAATTATGGCAGTGGAAAACAAAGAAAAGTTATTAGAAAGTGGCAGAAAGTAAACGAAATGGAGGATCAAAGCCCTTAGGCAAGAAGAGAAACCCGATTAACGGAAACAACAGCCCACTGACAGCCAGCTGCAACACACCAAAACTTAAATAATACTTAGACGCTCGTCGTGTAGCCGGAATCAGAAGGCGGAGACTGAGATTATGACCTTATTCTCTCCATTTGGTCAGATCCATCTGAGGGATCTCGTTACAACCCACCACCGGCTGTAGACGGAACGCTTCGCGCGGCACCGTGTTGATCGTGTCCGAGTTGTCGCAGATGATGCGAGACAATGAGGAACGGCGGATTTCGGCGAGCTGCGCCCGCGTGAAAATTCCCGGGTTTTCGAAATAGAATCTGAAGGAAATTGGGTTTATATTACCGGTAATTTTGATATAGTACGTACTTAAGGCATGCTAAAGGTTTTTTGACCGAAAATAGTAGGAAACAAAGTTCTAGAGACTTTGAGACCGACGATAGTAAAAAAACACAACTTACCGATCTCCATCTCTCGTTCGAGCAAATTGTGGGCCAACAACACAAGACAAAGTAGGACCAATCAGACCTCGTACGACTGGGTCTTCTAGTACTGCTCCGACGTAGAAGTCAACATTGTCTGAATATGTCATTAGATTTATTTAAGTTAAGGTGATTTTGGAAATTTAAGAATATTTCACTCATTTTTTTTCTCCGTATTTTATCATGATACTTCCGTGATGGCATAGTTTGGCATATTTAATATTATAGTTTGGCACATTTAGTTTAGTTTTTTTTAAAATTTTTACTTACCTACAGACCCGTAGATCCTTCGAAGGTTGTTTCTTGCGTTTTCTGATAGAATCTCTCGTGACAGCTGAAATTTTACACATGAAAATCGTATCAAACACTTTTTTCTGAATTTACAAAGCAAGTACCTAACTTTCCCCACTCAGAATCAACTTAATATTTTTATATGAATTCATTGTACCACTAATAGTACCCATAAAAAAGCTTAGCTCGCGCTTTTGAGTTTTAAATTTGAAATATTTGAGTTTCCCGCCAATTTGGAACATTTGGCATTGTGTTTCAAGTCCTTTTTGCTTGATTTTCCATACAAGCTACGCTTACAAAATTAAAAATGTAGGTCCATTTAAAGGTTTTCTACTAGTATATCAAAGAAAAATTGATTAAAGTAAAAAATGACAAAGTTATAAGCTTGAAACACAATGACAATTTGGCGAGAAATTCAAAACGTAATTTTTTGATCTTGATCTTCTAGGAATTTCCTAGAAAGTGCCTATTTGCTCTAGATCTTACACTAAAATGACCTTTCTATATAAAAAGTTTGAAGTCAATCAGAAGTGAAAAAGTTGGGCTCCTTCCTTGTTATTTACATTTTTTTTAAATTTTAAAACCTTTCAATAAAAAAATCCAAAAACCAATTCACCTACCCCATCAAAGTTGGTAGGTGAGCTCAATCCACACAATTTTCTGAACTTCATGTACGGTGGAAGACCGTGATCTCTGCCACGTTGAATGTTGATCGTACCCAGGTCAGTACTGCCGAACATTTGTTCAGTGATAGAAGGTGTCAGACGTTGAGGTCGCTTCAATGGTGTGAACATCATGCCTCTTAGGATTGGATCGGCTCCACCTTCGAAGACAAAGCGTTCCGAATGTAACGTTCCTTGGACAAAGTTGTAGCCACCTTGAGGGATGGAGCGGTTGAACTGGTCTAGACGGGGGTAGAATTCCTAAAATTTTGTGTTTCAGATTATAAAAGCGATAATAATTTAGTTTTTAGATCGTACTATTGTTAATAATGGCATTACTATCAAAGTAAGTTGTTCAAAAAATTCTGTGCCCCTTCTCAAAGCAAATTTTCGAGGTTAAGAGACATAATTATTTGAACAACCTATAATAATATAGCTTTATTTTTATTAGGTTAACACCCTGCCGTCCTCCCCGATGCATTAACACAAGAGCAATAACATTTCCTCTCCAAGCCCAAACCTCCTCCCGTTGCCCTACCTGAATAAACCCATGCCCAAACCTATGAGCTCCAGCAGTGAATTCATTAACAATGGTCGAGTCAATGTTAGGATTGTATCCTCTATACTGCCCCACAGTAGACGCAAACGCCGAACCCAATACTTTAGGTAGGTATTCACGATACACAATAGCTTGAACCTCAGCTCCGACAATCTTCCTAGCCTCCTGGAACAGTCGGTCGCCACTCCAATGAGGATTGATTCTTTGTAGCATTGCTGCCAGCCGGTTGTGTTCCTTCGTCAGCAACAGATGGAATGAGGTGAGGCCGAGGAAGAGGTTGACTCGAGAATCTCCGGCGACAAAGACGGCTTTACAGTCGTTTCGGTTGCGACATTGGGCTGTGTCGAATGGCAACGTCTTTTGGCCGTTGAAGTTCTGGGTCTTGAGGAAGCCGGTGTTGCCGTCGCGGAACTTGTGCATGTCTTCGATTGAGGAGCCGTAGATCGGGGAGCTAAAATGAGGTTGTAAGGTGTGTTGGCATGGTCAATATTTTATGTTAATCATAGTATTATATTTAAAGTTTAAAAAAATCTTGTCGTTTTTGAGCACGAGAATCAAAACAAATTGACGACATGACTTTTTACCCTTGTAAATGACAGTTTATTACTGTAGTCATAATAATATCACAGTATATTAACCATAACCTACGCATCAATGTAGCCAGTGTTCTCGTTCAGCTGTTGCCTTGGCTTCGTTCTTCCAGACCCACAGATGGCTGAAGATCGCGACACCCTAATACAGACGTCTCTTCTGAAGCTTGGGTTGGGATCTTGTGGAGTGACAAACACAGCCATACATCTGCCAGGGATGTTCTGGCACACATTACACTTGGCTGATGGTACCAACGTGGTCTTGGCCATATCGTGCACAATGAATTGGCCAAACTGCATCAACAAAGAGTTGAAGTCTTGAGTGAGGACGGCCTTTGATGTCGAAAGAATGGCACGATTGGCTTCACGAGGGCTGGGGCGGGTAACTCGAAGGGATGCTGAAAAGATCTTGTACGTCACCCTTATTTTTATTTTTTTATAATATTGGTTGTTCAAATAATTCTGTGCCCCATAACCACAAAAATTTGCTTTAATAGAGGGCACATAATTATCTGAACAACCGAATATTAGCCTACTGTACCTAAAAATTCATATAAATCGGTATAAACCTACAAACAGGCTCGCTGAGTCCACCATCGTACTCAGGAGTCATCAGCCTAGTATAAGGTCGGAAAGCAGCTCCCTTCAAAGGCTGATTGAAGTTGTTGCAGGTTCCATCCATCGTTCTGAAGAACATGTTGTAGCACAACGATCGTTCACATTCAGCATCGTCCAGTCTGGGTACACAAGCATTGGCGACGTTGGAACGGATCAGCTTGTCCATACCCATCATCGTGCGACGACCGGAGGTGTCTGAAATGATTTATGTTTAGTACATGTTAATATATTAACCTATATTAACATTTGCCGTTTTGTAAATGCTATTACTATATCTAGCACCGTCCTCACCTTCTTTAGAGAAGACCAATCTCTCCCGAATCAAAACCTCAGCGGCTAGACTAGGATCATTCCTGATCTGTCTACATCTGGCTAGCGGATTCGAAGCTGGTGCAGTTGTGAATTGTGTCGTTGTGGTCCTAGTCGTAGTAGGAGTAGTAAAAGTGGTCCTAGTAGTGGCTCGAGTTGTCGTAGTGGTGGTTGGCGGGAAGGTCCTCCTGGTGGTTGTTGTAGTAGCCGGAGGGAATGTTATCCTTCTTGTGGTAGTAGCAGGCCTAGTGGTCCTTCTGGGTGTAGTTGGAGCTGGCGAGGGGGCTCCTGTCCTGAAGGTTGTTGGACGAGTGGTTGGGCGGATGAATGGAGCTGAAAGAGATTTTATATTATCCATGGCAAGTTTCTCGTATTTTAAAAATTTTTTGTTCTTTTTTCTTGGAAAAACTGAAATCTCCTTTGAAATATTGAGTTAATAGCTTAAAATTTTATACAATTTACTTAATTTTCCGTATTTTACAATTTTCCATTTTTTGACCTTGACTGTTTGATTTTTCCACAAAAAAACAGTTTAAAAACATTTTAAGCAGTAGTTTCCCAGTTTACACCTATCTCAATTCTGTGGAAATAAGTTTAAAATGACAATTTAAACCTGTTTTTCGATTCTCGATTACATAACTCGTAAATCATTGCTTCTCTTACTATGCAGCTACTAAACTTTACTTTGTTACCTAAATACTTTTAAAGGTTAATTTAATAAAAATTTTAATTTTCATTCTTTGATTTAAAAAAACTCTTGAAGATAGTATTTTACCTCCTTGAATTGAAAAAACTTCAAAGTTTCAAAAAAAAATATTTTTAAATTTCAAAACTTTTTTAAACTTTAAAATTTCAAAAAATCTCTAAAAAAATTAAATTTAAAGTCAAACTTACCTTTGCGACAACTGCCACAAGCCAATTGACAGTTCCTCTCCATCCAATTCCTGTTCGTCCTGCATTCGCCCATCGATGCCCAGAATCTGCACCATTCGTGCTGATCACAACACCCATTTGGCTGACAACTAAAGTTTCGTGTCACTGGGTTGTCGTCTGATCCTTGTACTACTGAAAATATTCTTTAATCATTAGTTTTTAATAAATATTCTTGATATAATGTCTCTATTCAACAAGATTTTGTATTTTTCAACAAAATTTTAGCTATTTTTTGCAAAAAAAATAGAAGTTTGGGCGCAGCGTGTATAGAATTTGGATTAAACTTTTTATACGCAAAAAAATGTTGCTCTCTTAAGTAGTTGCTAAAAGTTGCTTGATAATTGTGTCTTGCAATAACGTTTGCTGAAGATTTCAAGCATTATTTTTTCATTGCACATATTCAGTTGTTCAAATAATTTTGTGCTCTCTTTCAAAGAAAATTTTAAGAGTGGGGCACAGAATGTATTGAACAACCTAATAATATCAAAAGTCATTTTTTAAAGTTCAAAAGTTGCAATTTGTTAAATATTTATAAAAAAAGAAGTTAATTGCTTATTAGTTCGTTTGAGGTACGTTTTAAACGTTTTTACAATGAGTCAAAGTTAATTTACAAAGCAATGTTTGTTCGGTAACGAAAATTATATTAATTATTAGATGACAGTATTGGCAAATAAGAAAAAACAAACAAAATAACTAATATATTGTACATACTGTGTCATACAAAGCTTTTATTATTATATTAATCGAAAAAATTGATTTCTAACCTTTTAAACCAAATAATGATTATGACGAAGATAAAAAATACGTTTTTATTTCTGTTTGTTAATTTTTTTACTATGTAAAAAACCTTATACGTTTGAGTATACAGTTTTTTCATCAAAAAGTATCTTTAAAAGTCAGAGTTCTTTCTCCGATGTCAAAACTGTTTTTTAGACTATTGCGTAGGAGTAAAAGAACAGCGAACGTTTCACAGAGTAATCAAAAAGTCATAACCTTGAAATGTATGAGTATAGGTTACTAATCTAACCCCTCAGAAGATTATTATGATGAAAATTATTATGGCAACGCACTAGCTTGTAAAATAGCATTTTTATACTTTCAAAAGACTTTTAGTACATTTAAGGAAAAACTGTAGCACTCACAAAACAACTGGGCTCTACCCTTTTACAAGTCTAACAGGTAGAGGTTTTCACTGATACCTTAAAGTGACCTCTCAATGGCCCAGTTTATCTACTATGTTGTTCAAATCATTCTGTGTCTTCTAATCTCAAAAATTCGCTTTGAGAAGAGGCACAGAATTATTTGAACAACGTAATATTATAACTCCCGTATCTTCTATAAAATAAAAAAGATAAAAAATAGAAAACATACCTGATAATGCTATACACACAATGGCCAAGAGTGGCACTTGGCCCAGGTTTGGGAGCATATCTGAAAGTATAAAATTTAAAAAAAAGATAAAAACTGTAATTTTAAAATTTTTCACGAGAATGTATAGCCATTTAATTAAAAAACAAAAAATACGCCTTAAGGCAAAGGTTTCAGGTGAATTAAAGTAAAAAAGCCAAAACACAAAATAGAAAAAAACCTAAATTCTTATTATTATCTCTTGATTTCTTTGACAAAACACAAAAGTAATTGTAAATGAATCTAAAGCAGTAGTAAACGTTGTAACAAAAAGGGGCGGAGCTTTCTGTACAAGTTGAATTTTGAAAGATATTTTACGGTAAAAAAGGGTACATTAAAGCAATGTTAAAGCAATATAGGACATCGTATTTTACATCTTCAAACCTAAACTTTCAGTTTCTTATAGCGAGAGTTGTCTTTAAACTAACAAGGAACGTGTCCAACTTGCCACACTCAGAACCAGCTCAAAGTTTTTATATGAGTTTATTGTACTATCAATAATATCCACAAAAAAATTTAGCTTATGTTTTAGTTATAAAATTTAAATATTTGTGTTTCTTGCTAATTTGCTAAACATGACATTGTGTTTCACACACTTTTTTACTTTCCAGACAGCTACGCTTACAACATTAAAAATGAGGTTTATTTAAAGATTTTCTATCAGTATATTAAAGAAAAAATAAGAAAAAAGTCAAAAAATGACAAAGTTATAAGCTTGAAACACAATGCCAATTTGGAAGGATATTTAAAACCTAATTTTTTGATCTCGATTTTCACAATATTGACTGTAAAGCGCATTATATAATAATAGCATACAATAAATATTTATCTCATCTTCAACATGTATTAAAATAAATTAAGATAACAGTTGTATACAGTCTGTACACAACACCTACTGCATTGTCTTTTTATAGCAAACGGTAGTCGTAAAGTGTCAATTAACTTTTTACCGGTCGGAAATAAACTTTTGTAGTGTTTACCTTAGTTTTACAACATTCTTACAATAGTAAACTGTTTTTACTATGTAAATCAACAAAGTTTTAGTTGGTGAAAACAGTGTCTTATGTTGATGAAAAGATTTTACTATAATTATACAGTATCAAAAGTACTAAAACAGTACTATTACCATCTATGTTGTGGTCGTTAATGTACGTTTTTTATGGTAGTACAATACTATATTGTACTAAATACTATGATGTGTTGTATTAAAATCGTACTGTATAGTAATATAATACGTACAAAAGTACTGTAACAACACCAAATCACTGTATTTACTTCAGCATAGTAAGTTCAAAAGTAATATTGCTATCTCAGTATGGTACCCCAAAACATATTAATCTTACAGCACTTACAACATCTTATACGACGCTAAGTACTCAACGTACTATACCTGCACCATTTCTCTATAACATGACCCTCTAATCCTACTACAGTAAGTACAACCAGTACTATAGTAAAAACAACTATCACTTCAGTACACATGAAAAGATCATTACAGTAAAACGACAATTACTCACCCCCTCCCCGTCGTATGTCGCGAACGTTGTTGCGTAATAGTAATAATTTAACTTTACTGTTTATCTTACTATAATGTTTACTCCCACTTTGACATAATTGACGTCGCTTAAAAGTTGAAACGGCCAATTTACTTGAAGGTCACCAGGTTTGGAGGTCAAGAGTCTCGACGATACGAGGTAATGATGACCTCAGCGGCTACAGACAAACGTTTCCACAAGTAATAGGATAGTGAGAGAGAGAGTGTGGGAAAATGAGAAACGGCAGAACAAAATCTTTAAAAAGTTTTAAGTTTTAAAAAGTAACAGCTTGTTTAAATAATTCTGTGCCTCAAAACCCAAAGCTCTAGCACAAAGTCTTAGCCTCAGAAGCCTAGCCCAAGAATCCTAGTTCAGAGCCTTAGCCAAGAGCCCGAGCCCACGACCCGAGCGTTGAAAAGAGCACAGAATTAGTTGAACAACTTTAATAGTATAATGAATGAATAAAAGTAAGTAAAATCTTACTCTGCCAAAGCATTTTGTACCTAAAAGTGTCAAGTAATACCTAAAGTTTCAAAAAACGTAATGTGGCACACGTTAGCATACATATATATAGTTTAACCTCGTGTCAACCCATTACCGCGCCTTGATTTACCTTGGTTTATATTACCTTAACTTTGAAAAACTTCAAATTACCAATGTTTGAAAAGCCTCAATAGTTATTTGAATAGGAATTTCTTTTAAGCATTTACATACATTTTACATGACAAAATACTATGGTATGTTACAAAAAAATGAGATTTTATTTTAGTAAAAAAAATTTTAAACTTTTTAATTCATTTTCCTCTCTCTTCTCAAAATGTATGACTTTATCAACCTTATCACCACACATTTACTTTTAATTTTAAAGTTTAAATTCAAAAAAATTCAAAAGTAAAAGTTCAAAATCGCAATACGACGAACGTTTTGTATGTTTCGTTTAACTACTCGTTTAATTTAAAAAGAAATTATTATTTTAAGTTACGACAGTTACTGGTTAAATGACCTTGTATAACATGTTATTAAACAAACATAGACAGTAATACTAATTGCTGAATAAAACGTCTTGTAATAATTAGTTTTTAAGTTTGTTATATCAATCTGGAAACAAAGATGTTAGCTATAATCACAAAATCAGTACATCAAATGTAAAGTAAATGTAAAAATACGTTTTGTGAAATGAACTTATTGTTCTCTAAATTGTCAAGTAAAAAAATACAGCGGAACTTCGTATAACAAATCTCTCGGAGATTTTAACTGTGTTCATTATAAAAGAGTTTCTTTATGATAGTTCTACTGTAAAATCCAGTTAATGTATCCCTCTATGCTACTTTCACTTTTGTCTCTTATACTATTGAGAAAGCGCACCAACTTTCGAACCACCAAAAATATAACAGGCTTTTAATAGACCAGAAAGTGATTTAACAAAACTATTTTATCTTACCAATCAAAATCAACGATTTAAATTCAAAACGTTGGAGATAGTCTGTTAAGAACGTCACAAACTTTAAATGCGTTCAAATCTGTATTTTAGTAGCTATAAGAACAGCCATAACAAAATCTATGTTTATAGTAGCCAGTTTAATAGTAGCCAAACAATCATTGTTTTCAAATGACATAAAAACTGGTTATCAATAGGGTTTTCCCTCATAGCTTTAAAATAACATTTTCTCAAAAAGAACTACCCCATCCTACATTAAAAATCACCTACTGGAACAAAAAATTACCCACCCGTAGGTTAAAAATTATCTTGCCGCACTCTAGATAAAAAATTAATATTCCCCTAGATTACCCTATTCTAGATACATAAAACATTACCCTTTACGTTAAAAATTGCCTTCCTCTGATTTAAAAATTACCTTTCTTTATGTTGAAAATTAATTTCCCCTAAATTAAAAATCACCCTTCCGGCCCTGCAATAAACAGCAAAACTTTTTTTTGCAAAAGATATGTACTATCGTTAAAAATATAAAGCGAAGAATGTACAATGTTTACCACAATTGACAATTTCAAAATTTACAGAAGCGTAAGAATCGAAACCAGTAATAAATGAAAATATATACACTGCAGTAGAGAGCGACGCTTTAATATTACTCTTTTTTTCAATTCCCGTTAATTTCAAAGACAAAAGAAACCGGACAACAGTTGTGAAGTAGTCCGCGACAATTATGACTAAAGGTTTGACAGACGTAAATCAAACTTTTGATAAGGCTTAGGTTATTTTTATGCCTAAAAAACTTTGTCGCTATAAAAAATTCAAAAAATTTATGAAAAATTGTCGCAACTTCTATTTGCAACTTCAGCAACTTTTTTTTCTTTCTTTGATTTTTGTGCATCAAATAGCTCTCTGTAGTAATAGTTTGCATTAAAGACCCTACTAAATTATAGTCCACACTTATACACACCCTATCTCACCACCCAAAACCCTTACTACCAACCTAAACATACGAACATCTTCTGCTTACCATGTAAACATAACCAAGTTTTCGCCAGAACAGTAACTTTTAAAAATAGTTAAAGTGATGTTGTAATAAGCAAGCCATCTCACTTTACAGGCTTTTTTCATACTGTTTATTATACGATTTGTAACTGTTATCAGCAACAACAATCAGCGACATCGCAGTAAACAGCGACAAGAAAAGGCCATAAATCAAATCGGTTTTTTCTGCCTCGGATTCAAATGTACAATGTAATAGTAGACAGGGGGTGTGGGTTTTGTAAGGATGGTACCTGTTATTACGTAGGTTTTGTAATTGTGTTACCCACGAACACATCTTTTTAAAAAACACAACTGCCATTCTAACTAGAGCTGAAACCGAGCCCACTGTACCCGGAATGGCCCCAGATCGGCCTGGCTCAAGTCAAAGCAAATTTGGAAAAAACCGGCCCAGAATTGCCCATGTAGTCTCGAAAGCCAAAACTCAATTGAAAGCCGGGTCTCATAGTCCAAGCCGAAAAGTTGGACAGGTCTAATTCTTAATGGCCCAAAGGCCGGACCCAAAAGGAAATCCGCCAGGCGCAACTTAGGACCCCCAACAAAAAATTTCCGCGAAAAGGGGACTTACCATGCCCGGTTCGACCCTATAGACCAAAAAATCAAGCCTGGCCTGGCTTCTTTGCAGGTCTAAACTTATGTTTTAAATTTCAAAAACCTTAAAATTTTGAAAAACCCTCCAAAAACTTCAAAACTAAGAATTCAATGTCAAGAGTATTGTTGATGAAACGCTATTCAAATACGAATCAATTGCCCGAGTAATATTACTAATGTGATCAAAAAGACCTTGGGGTACAACTTTCAAAGAAAACAATAAAAGTAAATGACCTTCGCATAACAGCATTCTAGTTTACACTAAATTGTTGATCAAAGCAAAAGTTACTTAGCAGTAAAAGTCATCATTCCAAAACTTGCACTTATTTTTAAAATTTTTAAATTATAAAAATTAAAAAAAATAAAAATTTTTTAAATTTTTTAAATACCCTTTATACCTAA